TTTGTGTGTGTGAGTGTATGTGTGTGTGTGTGTGTGTGTGTGTGTGTGTGTGTGTGTGTGTGTGTGTGCGTGCGTGGGTGTGTGTGCATATGAGTGTGTGGTGAAACACCAAACCAATGTGTCAGCGTCTAAGTCTAAACAATAAAGATTTATTCTATCTTTTCTCGTCCTATCCCATCCCATCCCTTCTCACCTCATCTCACCTCCCCTCACTTTATCCCATCCCACCCCATCTCATTTCATATTACTGCTGTCTCACCGTTAAAATGATGCTGCCTGTGTCCAATCATAGGCGCGTCCATGCTGTAGTCCTCTGGAGCGAACACAGAGGCCAGACTCTCGTTGTTGCACCAGCCCTGAATGCCGTACTCTGACGCCATGCGGGGCACACGGAACACGGCCGGGTTCCACTGATCCACGACGTTTTCGTAGAAATGAACTGTGGGAAGAATAATTAATTTTACTAGTACAGGTTTTCTCTATGGGCCGTCCATCTAGTTTAAATTTGGTTAAAGAGAAGCATATAAACACGATAACGCTCATGTACTGCAGAGGCGAGGTAAGACGGACGGTACAACATAAGGAAAGAAAAGAAGAAGGACCCCCAAATAATAACCACCTTCAGTACTAGATACTACCCGGTTGACTGTTTTACGTATGAAGTGTGAGAGATACAAAGTCGGAGACAAAACTGAAAATTCGTTTCAAAATTTATTTCATGAAATGCTATCTTAATAGCTAATCCGGGGGCTCTCGTGGTCTAGGGGTTACGGTGTTTACCTCTCATTCAATAGGTCCCGGATTCGAAAATTGAAGGATTTTTTTTTCTCTAAAATGTTCTCCTCTGACCCCCCCCCTCTCTCTCTCTCTCTCTCTCTCTCTCTCTCTCTCTCTCTCTCTCTCTCTCTCTCTCTCTCTCTCTCTCACCATGTCCACATACACACGTACATACAAGCTCACTAAAAGGCAGGCTACATTATGCAATACAAGAAAGCACTCACTGTCTCCATAAAGTTCACTCCCTGGATCCTTGGCGACATAACCCTCTTTCTCACTCTCTTTTGCATTGGAAGGACTGGAGAGGAGGTACTCGCGGCTGTCGTCCTCGCCGTTCACTAAAAACGAGGAGGAAAAAAATGAAATAGAAACAAACAAGGTAAAAATAAATCTAAACACACTTTCAATGTAATAATCAGCATTATATTGAGACTGTCCGTATACTGTTCTGAATCTGTAAACGTAATTCTTTATTCTTTTATAACCGGTGAAAGGAAAAACCACTAGGTAGATAGCCTTGTCTGTTTTGATTCGATCAAACACCTTTGACAAAGAAAATAGCATTATATTAAATAGAACATTTACCAAACTATGCTCCAGCTCTGAATGATATTAATGCTGCCCAGCAAAAACAAAAGGAAAAGAACCTCCAATGAGTGAGTTCTTGGGTATTTGATAACGATCATCTCTTTGATAACGATACAAAGCAATAAGTACCTAGATTTGTGGATCTCGCTTTACTGTATGTTCGTGCAGCTTTTTTTAAAGCAAAAACTGAACTGCAAAGACTTTATTCAAAAAACAAAGCAAAAAAGAAAAGGTGAACGTAAAACTACTGGCTCAATTGTGGAGTATTTCGTAACGATACTTAGTGGCCGAAACCTATACCCTTATTAATGTTTTTATTAAAAACTATGAAAATCCGGCCCCGTCATGTTCGTAAAAATTTCTAATGCTCCATTTCTTTAGATTTTGATGTCTGAAGCGTGTGTGGTTTCTTTTAAGAGGTGACGCAAATTTGGGAATCGCTAAAATTATAATCTAAATATTAAACAATACGGTACGTTAAAAAGACACAAATATTTGTATCGCTAAAGTTGTAATCTTAATATTAAACAATAAATTAAATCTTCATTTCGAATGCCTAGGATGCGACATTTTTTAAAAATTAGGCTCACCTGTTCTTTGACTCTAAAGGTGATGTCGGTAACTTAGTGGTTAGGCTACCGGACCCGTAAAAGTGAGACTGCGGGTTCGGGGGTTCGAGCCTCAGCTGAGTCGGACGTTGTGTCATTGGGAAAGGCACTTTACTCGAAATTCCTATTTGACTTGGCTCTTTCAGAGATGGACGTTGAACTCTGAAGTCCCGCCTCTTTAAAAAAAACAACCTGATTGTGTTAATAGGGGCATTTCACATTTTATCCCTCCTTTCCTCTCCCCCTCCCTCCCCTTCCATCTTAACCCTTGTGTGTGTGTGTGTGTGTGTGTGTGTGTGTGTGTGTGTGTGTGTGTGTGTGTGTGTGTGCGTGTGCGTGCTTGCATGCGTGTGCGTGCGTGCATATTAATATGTGTGTGTGGTGAAACACCAAACAAAATATGTGTCAGCGTCTAAGTCTAAACAATAAAGATTTATTCTATCTTTTCTCATCCCATCCCATCCCATCCCATCCCGTCCAATCCCATCTCACTTCACCTCCCATGCCACACCATCACATCCCATCTTATTCCATCTTACTGATGTCTCATCCCATCTCACCTCACCTTATCTCATCCCACACCTTCCCGTCCCATCTCATTCCATCTTACTATTAATGTCTCATCATTATAATGATACTGCCTGTGTCCAATCATAGGCGTGTCCATGCTGTAGTCCTTCGGGGCGAATATTGAGCGTGTGCGTGTCTGCGTGCATGTGTGTGTGTGTGTGTGTGTGTGTGTGTGTGTGTGTG